GGGCGACAAGATGGCGGCGGGCCGGAGCCGGGCCTCCTCCTCCTCCTCCTCCTCCTCACCACTCTCAGCCCCGCCGATTGCCGCCGCCTCCTCCCCCGTCTCCTCCTCCTCCTCCTCCTGCAACAGCAACTGCGAGCGCTGCGGCGCCGGGCCGCTCTCCCGGAGCTCGGGAGGGGGCTAGACCGGGCCGCGGGCGCGCAGGCGACGAGGCCGAAGCTGGGGCCGGGGCGGGGACGGCGGCGGCGGTGGCGGCGGCGACGCCGGGTGGGGATGGGGTCGCAGACGCTGCAGATCCTCCGGCAGGGGGTGTGGGCCGCGCTCAGCGGCGGCTGGTACTACGACCCGCACCAGGCCACCTTCGTGAACGCGCTCCACCTCTACCTGTGGCTCTTTCTGCTCGGCCTGCCCTTCACGCTTTACATGGTGAGCGGGGGCGGGGACGCGCTGCGGTCGGCCCGGGGTGGTGGTGGTGGTGGGGGTCCTCGGGAGGGGGGAGGGTGTCCCGGGGTCGCACCCCCTGTCCTCCCGGCGTGCCGCTGTCCTGGTGGCGGCGGGCGGACGCTCCCCTCCCCCGCCCCGCTCCCCGCCTCGGGTTTCCCCTGTTTTCAGCACCTCCCTCCCGCCGGTGCCCGGCCGGGTCCCGCTTCCTCGCGCCTCGCGTGCCGGTCTGTCTGCGTAAATTGCGCACGAGGCCTTCCCTCGGGGTCCCCCCACCCGCCTCGGTCCTCCCCGGCCTCGGGCTACCTTCCTGCCCCACTCCCCGGGGCATGCCCCTGCCCGCATCGCGGCCCCGGCTGTGCAGAGCCTTGCGGGGGTGGGGGGGAGGCCGTGCGCGCTCCGCCCGGAGCGGAGTCGCGGGGTGTCCCGGCTCGCACTCGCTTCCCGTGCTGGGGGAAACCCCGGGCGGGCTCGTGCCTCTTGCAAACCGCTCATCGGTTGGGTGCGGGTTCCATTCGGTTCAAGCCCGCAGCGAGAGGCTGTGTGGTGTTGAGCCAGGCCGGCGCTCCGGGCAGGGAGCGGGGAGACACGGGAACCTGGCTGGCATTTCACCCATTTGTTTGCCTTGGTTCAAGGCCTTTGACTGGCAGGGGATAGGAAAGTACCGCCTGTTGCTGGGTGCACTAGGGCCAGTTCCTCTGAAGTGTTTTTAGTGTGCCCAGACTGTTTCCATCCATAGCCAAGGCTGGCCCGAAACAAACGCACGGTGTAGTCCAGGCCTCGGGAGTTAACTGGGATTAAAAGTGTGAGCCACCTCTCTAGTGTTCTTAAAGGATGTTTTCCTGAAAGATATTAGCACATTTCTTAAAACAACAACAACAACAAAAAGCCAAAACAGTACTGTATTTTAGAGTGGGACATTTGGGGAAATAAAGCTTTCAAATTTTAATTGGAAGGAAGCATAGTAACTTATTTTCAGGGAATTTCTGCTAACTTCGTAGTTCTTCAAGGCTAGAAGAAAGGTGCTGGATTAGAAAATCCCGGAATAGGAGTGTGATAAGTGCCATAAGTTAAGACAGTCTATTTGCCTCATCGCTCAGTATCACTAATTGGCAGGAATATGCCTTGGGGGATGGTGAGTGTGTGCGCTAAATGTCACATTGTCAAGCGGATTCTGATTTCTCAAAGAAATGTGTTTGAAGGGACTTACACAAGCTTGAAGGAGCTATTTTTAAAAACGCCGATGGCTTATTCCAGGACTTGTTCAGTCTTGTCAAAATCGGAAAATTTATCACCAAGTGTTAAAATTTCAATTCATTTTGGCCGACCAGGTTCACTTTGCATCAGGGTACTTTCCAGGAATACGATGTGGTTAATGAGCAGCTCCATGGCTTTGGTTGTGGGGATCCTCAGGCTCACAGAGCATTCAGAGCTGACTTTTCTTGTGTCCAGACAGGATGTAGGTTTAAGACAAAATGATTGTCCGGAGGTCAGGGTTTGTTGCTGTGTGCTGTAAGGTTTGGGTGTAAGCCTCTTTGTGGAATTAACAGGACCACTGAAGACTAGAGGGATGGCTTTTCTGCTTGGATCGGCGCGTGCCTCTGTCCGGGTCCACGCACAGGTCTCTGCCTGCTTAGTACTCTTCCCGGCAGCTGCTGTATTGCCGCTGTATCCTGGGCGGTCTGCACTTGTTCTTCCTACTGCTGGGGGACTCTTCCCTTCCAGATGATTGTGGCTTGCTTTGGTTAGATTGTTTCAGATTTCTGGCATGGGAGACTTTCCTTGATCAGTAACATAGCAGCTTCTGAACTCTTCTGTCTGCTTTCTGAATAACGTTTTCTACTGGCTGATACATGTACTTAATGTTTTGTTACCTTGTTACACTGTGTCAGCTAATACTGGACTCGAGGCTCTGACCAGGCGGGAGCTTCATTCATTCTGTTCATTGCCGTATTCTCAGGACTTAGAGCAGTGCAAGACACACAGTAATGAGATGTTAAACAGATGATTAGAAATGAGCAGGACTCACTTTCCTCTGTCAGGGAACTTGAAGTCTAGCCTGGGGATAATAAGCAGCAGCCAGCATTAGAACTGTAGGGATGATGAGTGATCAGAGGTCATGGGTGCTATAGTAGATACAGTAAGTAGACAGTGTGACATATATATCCAAATTAAAGCAAAATCCTGCCTTCTGTGTAAAAACCTCACCCATGGTTATTACTCATGTGTTCTTCCAGTAAGTGATGGTGAGTTTACTGAGCACATATGTGTACAGCTAAGGATCCTCATGTGGCCACCGTGACTTGTTTTATTGCCTTAGGCAGATATATGAACTGGGATTTATACAGGACTTTTTGAAGCCAAAGTCACCGTTCAGGATCCTTATGGGCATGATGTATGCGAGTGCATGTGCAGACATACACAACACACACACACACACACACACACATACACACACACACACACCCCTTTTCTGTCTCCCAGAAAAGACCTCTTTTGTAGGTCTTTCCAAAGGGGTAAGATAGAGTTTCTGCAATTACAATTCTAAGTAATGGAAATCAAGAGGAAAATCTTCCTGCTTAACTGATTAGCTTTGTTTACTGATTATCCTTGTTTACTCCTTTTATATCATTATAATGGGTGAGTTTTTTGGGATAGGGTAGCTTTTTGTGGGGGGAGTGAGAAGTTCACTGGAATAGGTGTGTATGATTTTTGAATCTTGGTTTTGCTGTTGATTTGTGTTCTTTGGGCAAGATTACCTTCCTGAACCTTGATTTTTTGATTTGCTTATGTATGACATATTTCATGAGTACTTTACAAGGAAATATTTGTGAAATAGATTATTCAACTTGAGAAAAGCCTTCAGTATATGACATTTAAAAGAATGTCTAGTTAGAATTTTTCTCTATAATGCTGTATGCCTAGAAGAGATTAGGTAGTTCTGAATTTATTGAGTGAAACCATTATGGTAACATATTGCTCCTCATATAGTTGTCCTCTATAAAGAATTACATGTCTAAATGATGAAATGCTCTAAAATGTATTTACATTAAGATAAGCTGAGGGTAGAATGCTCATCTAGCATAGGTGAGGCCCTGGGTGCCATTCTGGGCACCCCTCTCCCTCCAGTCTGTTTACAGAAGAGGATCTCAGAGTCTAGGTCACATCAAAAATTACTTGGCAGTGTTAAAAATGTGTACATGTATAAACCTGTTCTGGTCAGAACATCTGGAGCATGGATCATTCATTTATATACTACATGCTAGGTAAGTTTGAAGAACTTGATCAATATTCCTGTAGTTCCTAGCCTAGTCTTAACTTCTAAGCTGGTACTCACATGTGTTCAGGACTGTCTTGAGGCATCTAAGAGAAATCATGTCTAAAACCATTCTGAGGGGCTTTAGCAATGGCGCAGTGGTTAAGAGCACTGCCTGCTCTTCCAGAGTGCCTGGGTTCAATTCCCAGCAACCACATGGCAGTTCACAACTGTCTGTAACTCCAGTTCCAGAGCATCCAATGCCCCTTTCTAGGCATCTAGGGGCACCAGCCACACAAGTGATGTACAGACATGCAGGCAAGACACGCAGACACATAAAATTAAAAAAAAAAACAAAACTTGAATTTTAATTGGATGCTCCCATTCCAAAGCAAAAAATGAAGAGCTAATGAACAAACAGAAGAGGAGAAGAAACCTTTCCTCACTGTTGTGTATTGATTAATGGTGTAATGGTGCTGCACCATTCCTTTGCTCTTGTTGTAGACACACACACACACACACACACACACACACACACACACACTCCTTAACCAAGTCTGCTGTCAAGAGTAACTCAGCTCTTCCTTGTACTTCCTGCTCCAACCTGTTTTGTCTGCACTGTTTATATATATTTATAATAACAGTGCAGATATACATATATATATATACACACTATATATATCTAGTGTGTATATATATATGTATATCTCACAGTACATATAGTATATTGTTGTACCAGCCATGTAACTGGCCTTTGGCATCTGTTCTTACCCCTTTACAACTCTTAGCATAAGCAGAAGGCATAAATCAGTTGGATGCCACCTCCTTTTGTATTTATTGGTTTAAATTTTTTTTCATACACTATATTTTGATTATATTCGTTCCTCTTTTCCAACTCCTCTCAGATCCTCCTCACCTCCCTACCTACCCAAGTAAATGTTCTTTCTCTCTCAAAAAACAAAACAAAACAAAAAAACCCCCAAAAACTGAAAACCAAACCAAACAAAAACCCCCCAAAAGACAAAAAAAATACCCAAACAAAATAAGCATACACACAGGAAGCATGGTGTCCGTTTTGTGAGCAGGGCCTGCTATGGAGTGTAGTTGATACACCCAGAGTCACTTCATTGATTTTTTTTTTTTTCCTCTCCCACTAAGTATCAGTAACAAATTGCTTCTTGGTTAGGGATGGGGCTTGGTGCCCTACTTCCCCTTCGCAGTGCTCGGATTTGATCGGGTTGAAACTTGTGTGGGTCTTTTGTGTTCTGTCATGGTCTCTGTGAGTTCACATGTGCATCAGCTCTTGTCATGCTTGGAAGACACTCTTTCCTTGAAGTCATCCATACTTCTAGCTCTTAGAGTCTTCCTGCCGCCTCCTCTGCATGATCCCTGAAGGGAGGAGTTTGATAAAGACATCTCGTTTAGGGCTTCTCATTCTGCGCATTGCCTGGTTATGGGTCTCTATGGTGATTATCACCTAGAGCAAGAACAAGCTTCTCCGATGCAGGTTGAGGGATGATGTACTAATCTATGGAACTAGCATCATGCCATTGGGAGTTATTTAATTTCTATGTTTATTTAGCAGAATAATAGTAGTAGGCTTTCTCCTAGGGCCTATGAACTATCTAGTGGCAGGTTCTTGGCCACTTGAGCAGTGTCAGGTATGGGTTCCATACGAAGGAGTGGGCCTTGTACCTGATTTTAAAAAGCCGCCGCCGGTTGCTTCTGT